GGTTGTGGAATGACCTTCCACCATCTATGCGCTCTTCTGATTCTGTTGATGCCTTCAAATGCAGACTAAAGACACATTTATTTGTTCAGGCTTTCAATTAGCTACTTGTGGGTTGATATGATCATGTACTGTCTATGCTTTTATTGTGTGTATTTTATGATATTAATGTTTTTGTTGTGAAGCACTTTGTGGCCCTATACCTGTGAAAGGTGCTATAGAAATAAACTTTTACTTACTTACTTACTTATCATTAATTTTACTCTAAATGAGACTGTAATTTACTAAATGAACATCATGCTGTACTGAAGAAGACTTGAAACTAGTAACAGAGACCATAAACTCATTAGGAAAGTGAAGTAATAAATAAAGTGAGGAGGGTCACTTTGTCATTGACTCCAATACAGTTGGTCTTAAGTGCAATTTATATATATAATTTACCCCCATTTACATTAGCAGAGCGCTAAACCAGAAGTTAGCCTGCTCGGCCAGCAAAAGTCAACACAGTGGACGCTGTAGCGCTACTGCCGACTAGCATTTGGGGGTGTAATTGTAGAATGAATGACACACCTACGCACAAGTATAAATGCATGGCTACGTGCGTAGCCTATGGCGTAGGTACGCACTTAGACCCTACGCAGGGGTATAAATGGGCCAACTATATTCTAACCAAAATAAATATTGTATTTTATTTTATTTTTTTATAATTAGTATCACATTACAGAGGACACTTCTGAGGTACAATTATTATATGTTCAAAGATCATAAAAAAAAATTTGTCTTATATTCCACCAATTTAAAGTTAAAGAAGCTATAATCGACTATCTATTAATAATAACAAATCAGTATTTTATTTATAATAACAATGTACCATCACAAGAGTTGCTCCGTATCTGCTGGATGTGTGAATAAGCAACAAGTTCTGACATTTTGAGGAAGTAATGAAGCTGCTGTTTGCACAACTTAGCTGTGAATATTTCTGTTATTTCCTTAAATATAAAATATTTAAGAGTGAAACACGGCATCCCCATTTCACTCAAATGGCACCTTTTGGCAAGTGTTAATGTAAGGGCTGATTTGACTTGCCTGTCTCAATGATTTCCTCACAAACACCTCAGTATGGGGTAGCTGGTAGCTCTTAGTTGCTAGGCTACATTTGCATGCAGTGAATGACGTCTCACTCATTAAATATGTCTTTTGGAGACAGTAAAAGGGGGCTTTTATATCAGCTGTTCGCTTCAGCGATCACTTCCCTTTGTGCTGTCTTGACTGGTTTGCTTGATTGTAATGTAACTAACTGGACAAGATGAAAAGCCTACAAAGACAAATGATCTCCTTGGTACAAAACTGTGTAAAATACAAACCCTACAAGGCAGAATTGGAGTGTCATAGACTTTATTAGATGAGAATTTCAGTTGATTAAAGGTTAAAGGGTTCATCAAGGACTTTTTATAACATCTTTCAACCCACATGCCTAGCATTTTTTTTTATTTAAAGCTGCATTTATCATTACCTTTATATTAACAACGGATCAAATGACAATGTTTAATGTAAAACCAGTCTCTTGCAAACTCCACAGCCGTATTCCCACCGCAGCTGACAACTGTTATCAGTGAAAATGCTCAGATGAACATGCTACCTGGCCAGCAACAAAAGGCAAACAGTATAAAGATAGCCACTCGCTAGTGAACATGGTGGTGCATTTAGCAGCTCAAGGGGCATATCTTTTTTTCCACAGTTGGTATAGAACCACAGAGTTAAAGGAAATTGAGTTTTTGAGATTCATTAGGTGGTCAGAAGAAGCATAATTCGGATGTGCAAATATGCTTCTGTTTGCCAACATATATATGCCTTACAATGTGATAATGTCAATAATGTGTTTTTGTTTTTTTAGGCAGACCTTTGGTTTTACACCCTAGGTTTTCCATTGATGCCCCTCCTGGTTTTAACATCATCTCATCTTTAACATCATCATCATCTTCAGCAGCAATGCTGAATTGTCTTGGATCTATTCTCAGTGAGTACTGTAGACAGTTATTATCATACAGAAAAGACAAATGGGTGTATTTCAACACAAATCAAACAAAAAAGAGAGTATAGAGTTAATTTAAGGAGACACAAAGGTATGGAAGGAATGAATTCTGCAGTGGCTGTTTCTGAATTTAAATTGTCTTCATAATTCACACACAGGGAGTTTCAAAAGCAGAGTGCAGGCCAGAAGGTGAGTATTGAATGTGCCTGCTAAGCTGGAGCATTAGCAGTGAACCCCTACAGCTGTTCTACAGTCATTTTTTGATGCTAAAATCTGACTTATTGTCCTTTTAAAATGCCTGATTAACAAGTGGATCCTGGTGCATCAGTGGAGAGACTTAGCACTAATATGCATGAGGACTCATGGAAAAGGACGCCAGGATGCAGAGACATCATTAGGAGAGACAGCCCAAGGTGCTGCCTAAGGCACGGGATGCACTGGTCGAACCTGGGTATAAGGAGACTGGTGGAGAAATGCCGGGACCGAAACCATACTCAAGACTCGCCCCAGGCTTTGCCTCACTGTCCTTGACCCCTGACTCCCAGCTCTCCTGAGGCTGACAGGGCCAGCAGCAAAGTGTCAACACAAGAGGGGATGAAGCAAGGAAGCGATACAGGGAGGAGGAAGAACGTGATCATGTGTATTAAAAGGTATTTTTCCTCACTTCTGCCAATAAATATTTCAATGTCACCCGTATTTACTTTGTTTTTAGTGGGAACTAATCCTGTTTCCAAGGTCGTCCTAGCTTGAAAACAGTTCAGTATATCGCAACAGAGAATGGTAGACTAATGTAATGTATGTGAATAATATACTTATTCCCTTTATTTATTAACTTGTGCCCTTACTCATAATAACATAGGTGCTCCACCCTTGTTTTTAATGAATGTTCTGCAGTCTTCTGCTAATGGACAGCTGGGAAAAAAGAAAGGGAATAAATTGTAACCTGGATAGAGTTATAGGACAATTGAGTTCTCACACAGAAAAGAGCTGAGTCTCCTAACTTCTTCAACTTCAGTATAATGTCACCCTCCAGAGGCAGAAGAGGGCTTCACATGTCTAATTGCACTTGGTAAAAAACTATATAATATGTGTACACAAATATCAGACTACAACAAATCGCTGTTTCAGTTTTTTTGCAAGCGTGTCATGCATCACTGAGATATGTGTACCGTTTTTAAAAATCAGGGACTCTCACTACTCTCCCTGGATGTGGAAGCTGATCTGATTGTGTTGCTACTCATAATTTAGTATGTGTAGCTGACCTCAAACTCAAAAAAAAAAGTGTTGTTGACTTTATTTTGGCTTTTCTTACAGATGTACACAACTCACATAGGGACACAAGTGTATGCTAAGAGCTGTAGAATGACAGCAACATAATCACTTTAAGCAGGAATGCAGTGGAGGCTGCAATGTTGTGAATTCAGTTAACCTTCTTTTCAAATTTGTAGTACATGTGAAATTGTAAGTAGATGTCATTTACTGAGATACTCCTATCATGTATTTTACGTCATATATTATGATTGCTTGGCTTTCACTCCAACCAAACACTGCAACAGCTGATACCACTGTATAATTCAGGTGCCACAGGAACGCTGAATAAAAAGATGAACAATTTACAATAATTATACAAATGACTTCCTGGCAGGTGTAGAATTACAGACATGCTGGTGGCATTTGTCTGCCTGAATGTAAATGCTGTGTCAGATTTGATCACGTGCACTGCAACCTGGTGTTGACCACACAAGTATTCTTAAGTAAACAAACTAAACAAAAAGGCTCTGATGTGACCAATGCACATATTCAAAACACAAACACCGCTACTGTCCCCCAGTGGCAGGGTCGAGGTATTACTTTACTTAGCACTAATCCCAGTTTCTCCTTTGTTGCGCCACATGCATTTATCTTTCTGTATAGTGAGTTGTTGTGCAATGCCTCCGCGAAATCTTCTCATGAGATACTATTACTTGTAAAGGTTTATTAAGATTATATCTTATTTGTTACTTGCAACATCCCTACTGTGCATCAAATGTATTTTGTATTGTAGGCCTATTATTCATACCTGTTTTACCTGCAAACAAGGCGTCTTTGAAACTCTGCGTTTCTTAGTAAACTCCGTTAAATGTGCTTTAAATGTGCATTCTTACAATTTACCCACGTCCAGATATATTTATCAGATTAAAGAGGAGATAAACATGTAGAGGTCTCACTCTGTCCGTTTATCCAAGAACAAAACAGCAATCAAAAACACGCTGTTGGGAAAGGACACCTAGAGACCATGTGACCAAATGAGACCATCATCAAATAAATATTGCAGCTGCAAGTGTGATACCGCCTGCTAATTCTGATACCACGCAATTATAACATGAATTTGTTCATTATATATGTAAACGAGACACAAACTGACATACATTTTTATTTTTTTATTTATTATATCTACAAATGTGTTAATTAAAGTGTTAAATGTGTTAAAGGTACTCTGAGGTTGAGTTTGTGACTAGGCTAACACTATAGAGCAATATTTTAAGAATGGGCCCTTGTTTCGTTTTCCACATCCTTAATACAGTCATGATCTTGCGCACGAGGACGGTCCAGGATGCACACAATGTAATTTAAATTCCTACCAATGGTCACACGATTCCACTGCCAAGAAACATAACAATGCAGGAAACAAAAAGACTGCTATCAAGCAATGATGGATGGGAGCAATAATCACAGCAGAACACTGCAGTGCATTTTAAAGACAGACACAAAATGTGACAAAATTAAATTATTAAACAAAATGACACCAGTCCAAAACAAATCAAAAAATAAATATTGGCTTAAAAATCCAAAAGAAAGAAAGGAAAACTGAATCATTATGTAATTAGTATTAGCAGAGAGGTTTTATATAGTAATACTACCTCGGATCCTTTTTTTTAACCCACCGAGTGGTTACTCTTCCACCAATCAACGATCTTTGCTGACAACAGGAAAACAACCGGGCAGCTGCTTCCTGTTTCCCCGTCCTCAGTCAGCTGATAACAGTTGTTTGCAAACATCTCCATCCGGCGTGTGCATGGTCTCAGCTGCGTTCTCTGCGGTCCTGTAGCTCCTCCGCGATGGGGGACAACGATGACAGCGAGATCATAGAGCACCACGTCGACGAGGAGATGGAGAAGAAAGGCACGAGGAGCCACGCAGCCTCCTCCTCGTTCCTGGAGAGCGTCACTCCATCCGACAGGGAGGGCAACAGCGGCACCCAGTCCTCCCACAGACTGCTGGCCTACAGCGATGCCCTCGTCTCCATCATCGCCACCGTCATGGTAAGACACCCAGAACAAGATGCAGCCCAGTGGCCTGCTGTGTGGACTGCAGAGAAGCTGCAACCCAGAATCACTTTATTACCGTACCCTGAGTTTAGTAAATATGTTGCGCAATCGCATTGACTGAACTTTGATTTTCTTAATTTTACCACTTTATACTATACTATACTACATTTCATATTATACATTTTATAATGTATTATTCATATTATACATTTCATAGTATACTATACTCCTGTGGAAGTATACCATTCTACCTCAGTATCTGTCAGCTGCTGTTAGGGTTGCATAATGTGGCCTGTTTGTTATTTGACAGGTTTATCTTTAACCTACAAAACATATAATGGACTTAGACAACATAATGAATTGTAATAGATAAAACTACCAAGAGTAGAAAAACATAAACCTGCTGTTTACACACTAATGGATCAGTGATACTAATCCAATAATATCATATTATAGCACCACAAAAGGTGCCATTTTCTCTGCGTAATGAGTATTTTTTACTTTTGATTACTGACAATACTTTCATTATTTTACTTGGAGTATATTTACGGTGTTGTGTTGCTGAATGCTTCTTCCATCACTGAGTACACGTTGTAATCAGACAAACAGGGTTGATGGGATGAACAGTTAATTTGGCAAGTTCCAGACAAGTAAACGTATTGAATTTGAGATCATGTTAGAGCGGTTTGGTGAGTATTCAGTTGGAGTAAGACATTTTATGGCGTGGAAAGACAAATACTTGCTGACTTTTCCAGGGACTATGACGTGCAATGCCACACAGAGTTAGTCAGCTATGCTGCAATTAAGTCTCACTGAAAGCAGGATTGTTTTATTTTTTTTACAAGATCAAGCCGAGATGAGTAAGGCAGACAAAATAATTACCACACACAGACAAGCAAAAATATTCGCAAATATCATTAAAGATTTCAGGAAAAACACCATTAAAGACCCCTGGAGAAATTTGTGTCTAAAATTTAGTTTGTTTTGCGGTTTGTGTGAGGAAATGTTTAAAAGTAACCTCTCCTGTTTCACTTAGAAGGTAAGGCAAGGCAGCTTTATTTGTATAGCACAATTCTTACACCCAGGCTGTTCAATGTGCTTTACAGGGTATACAAACATGGCAGAGGTAAAAATGTTTGCAGTTTTTAAAAGTGCAAAAGTACTGGCGGGCTTACAAGAGATAAAAAAAAAAGTAAATAATAAATAAATACAATTAAATTAAAGAACATTCATTAACCACCACATAATAATATTCTTTTGACCAGACATCTTCAAAGTCAGAAAGTCCGGTAAAGTTTTTATATATTCGTAGCATTGCCCTTGACCCACAGAGACCAGTCTTACTGGTCAGTTGGGAATCTGGTCTCTACAGATGCTGTATCATGTGTCTTTCTCTGCACAGTTGATATTTCTCCTAATGCAGTTTCCTTTATTTTCCTTTATTCAGATTTTACCCGTTGCCCATACAAAGGTGGAAGATAATGAGGTAATGTTTGACAATAGCAGTAGCTGTGTCACATGTCATTATTTTCTTCTTCATACTACTGTTTAGGTTTGCTTCAAGTTTGGGTCAAGGTCATCGAAACTCCAGTTACAGCTACTACCAATCTGCGCAATACTGCGCACATGCAATGACTTTAAAATAGGCAACATGTTCTAAATATGTGTTCGTCCGTCTTGCAGGAGTTGAGGGAGAGTTTTCAGCTTCTGCTGACAACAAAGATTGCTGTTTACTTAATGACATTCCTGATTGTGACTGTTGCATGGGCTGCTCATATCAGGTGAGTTATTTTTATTATCACTCTTATTTATAGTATTATTAGTATCATTATGGAAGTAGTAGTTTAACAGCATGTTTAAGGTTTATTATTTATCACTTCCTCCTTCTTTGTGATTCACAGATTATTTCAAGTGATTGTACGCATTGATGACTGCCTTGCACTGCTGAATCTTGTAAGTAGAGTATCAGCGAGATCACAGCGTGTTTAGTAACATGGCATTATTTGAGAGTGTTAACTGAAGTCTATCTTTAAGAAGTAATCATTTTGAGTATCTTGAATATTTCATTAAGAAGTTTTTTTTATAGAAGTATGTATGTACCCAATATGTTTTTTTACCTCACAAATGGATGCTAGATGAATATTCTTCTTTTGGGTTACATTGAACCTACATGTCTATGTTCCATATGGAGCACAGAACAGGGCTGAGATGTTCAAAAACACAGCTGGACTGAGTCCCTGTATATTTGATGTCTTGTGCTTTTATTATCTCTCTGGTTTACAATTTAATTAGCCATGGTCACCTTGTTCTGTTAACCTTGATTAGTTTAAAATCCAACTTCAGCTAGCATGACAAAGGCTTAGGCATGCACATGAACTCAGACATTCAATATGTGCCACAAAAATCAGTGCATGCTGGTAACTGATTTCCTTCACAAATATATCATAATTAACACTCAATAAAATATCAAGAATCCAGCCAATTTCCCTCTGTATGGAAGCCTGCTAAGAGAAAAGAGTCATGTCTTCAGTGCTGTTAATACTTTAAGTATTTTTACTTGTGAATGAAAGATGTTTTCTCTGCTGAGCATGTTTCCTTCTTTCTAATGTGAAGTTCTGCTTTCGGTTCTCTTTCAGGCCTGCATGATGCTGATAACCTTTCTACCGTACACAGTGAGTATGAGTCACTGCAGTGGCTAAGCGGTAGTTGATTCATTCACACTGTTTGCACAAATAAATGTTTAGTTGACTGATGTCATTGAAGCTCTGTAACGCACAGCGTGTCTTTGCAGTTCTCTCTGATGGCGACCTTCCCTAAAAACGTCCTCGGGATTTTACTGTTCTGTGGTTGTGTGATGGTGATGGGCGTCATTCAGGTGAGGCAGTTACAGTGTTTTATTCCTTTTTTGTCCTTTTGGAGAACAACTGTTGCCTGTTAATTAAACACTACATCTTATCTTTTTTTCTAGTCGAACTATGCGGCTCAAAAGAATTTAGGGAACACTTAAATCACACATCAGATATCGGGGAACAAAATAGTTTAAAGTTCAAAATCTTTACTGTACATTGTATAATACGTTGAGAATAAAATGATGTAACAACGGTCAATGGAACCAAACATCACCAAGTGATTGAGGGCTGGATACAAAATCGCATTGAAAATCCCAAAAATTGAAATCACAGGCTGAACTTTCATCATGGCGACTCATAATGTGACTCAGTAGTGTCTATGACCCCCATGTGCCTGTATGTACGTCTGCGTATGCTGCTGATGAGACGGCAGATGGCATCCTGGGGGATCTCCTCCCAGATCAGGACATCAGTGAGCTCCTGGACAGTCTGTGGCACTACTTGGCGGCATTGGATGCACTGATACGTAACGTCCCAGGGGTTCTCAATTGGATTCGGGTCTGGGGAACGTGAGGGGCAGTCAATGGCATCAATGCCTTTGTCATCCAGAAACTGCCTACACACTCTGGCCATATGAGGCCGGCTATTGTCCTGCACCAAGAGGAGCCCAGGAACACTGCACCAGTGGAAGGTCTGACAATGGATTTCACCCCGGTGCCTAACAGCAGTCAGGGTTCCACATGGAGGTATGTGTGGCCATCCAAGGATATGCCTTCCCAGAAAATCACTGACTCACCGCCAAACCGGTCATGCTGGAAGATCTTACGTCTGACGTCTGTCACATGTGTTCCGTGTGAACCTGTTCTCATCTGTGAAGAGAACTAATGGCGGACCTGCCAATTCTGGCGTTCTCTTACGAATGCCAATTGAGCTGCACGGTGCTGGGCTGTGAGGACAGATCCTCATGAAGTCTGTTACTGACAGTTTGGTCAGAAACACACCAGTAGCCCGCTGGAGGCCATTTGATAGTCTGACAGTGCCCCTTCTGTTCCTCCTTGTACAAACAAGCAGATACTGGTCCTGCTGCTGGGCTGATTCCCTTCTATGGCCTTGTCCAGCTCCCCTCAAGTAACGCCCCATCTCCTGGTATCTCCTCCGTGCTCTTGAGACTATACTGGGAGACACATCTAACCGTCTTGCGAGGGCACATATGGATGTGCCAGCTGGTCTACCTGTGCAACACCTGTGTGTGGCCTGCAGGTACCGCCTCATGCTACCAGTAGTGACAAGGACACTAGCAAAATGCCAAACTAGAGAACAATCAGTCAGGAAGGATAAGGAGAGAACATTAGTCTGTGGCCACCACCGGCAAAACAGTTTCTTTTTGGGGGTTGTCTTGGTGTTGCCTATCCAGTGCCCCAGTTGTCACTTTGATTTGAACCATTATTTATTTACAAACATGTGAGGGGTGTACTCACTTATTTGAAATACTGTATTTCAATTCTGTGTAATCACATACGTCATAATCCTACGTCTTGTTTCTCTAGTCGGTGATTGTGTTGTACGCCTTCAGCCGTCCCTTCCTGCTGAACGAGCAGATCCAGATCTCAGAGAACCAAACCTTCTACAAACACCACATCCTCAAAGTCATCATGCGGGTTCCCCTCATGTGCTTCTTCGCCAGCATCTTCTCCTTCATCTTCTTCCCGCTGGTAGGTGGCATTTACTCTTTTCTTCAACTGTTTCAGGATGCTACATTTACCATGTGAGGGATCTGTTCATCTTGTAATATGTTTCAGGGCTGCAAATACTGATTAATTTATTATAGTTGAATATACTGATTAGTTATTTGATTAATCATTAAATTAAAATAAACTACTTCCTGGAGCTCAAGGTGTCATCGTCATCGTTTGTGTGACCAACATTTTAAAACACAAAGATATTCAGTTTATATTATATAAAACAGAGAAAATCTTCACATTTGAGAAGCTGGAACAAGCAAATTTGGTGATTTTTGCTTGATTAATGGCGATTAACTGAGTAATTATTTCAGCACAAATTTCCCTTTGAGACAAGTCTTTCAAAGTTACATCAACCTCTGAACTCTTGCTGCTGTACACCTCTACTGTGCAGTGACATTTTCATTTTGTCTTTCAGTCTTACATGCTGTTGGCAATTGTCATCTTCCTGCCGTACATCTCCCAGAGTTTGAAGTGGTGTCGCAGCAAAGCAATAGGTAAGCACTTTATTTCCATCATGACAGATGTGAGAAACAAATCAAACATGTGCGGACCTCTGGCCAGACACTCTTTGGGTGCTGATTTATTTCAGAATGACTTGTGTCATGTGCACCACCTTTTAAAAACCAAATCTTGTCCATTCCAGGTCAGGTGGAGGAGACTCCAGACTCCATGTTGTTTTACACCTACCTGCCTAACGAGCCCCTCAGTAAGGACAGAGTGGAAGCTTTCAGTGATGGAGTTTACGCCATCGTAGCAACACTTCTCATCCTGGATATATGGTTTGTTTCACTTTATTTCCTTGAATGGGTAGACATAGGGCAAATGAATATTTTCTACACACTATTTTGTATAGAAAAGAGGTCAGACAGTGTTATGATGTTAAATCACAAAGCTATGAGCTCACAAAACTAGCACCAGGAGACCATGACCTTGTCGACCCTCGACGTTATGCTCCACCTCACACTCTAACTAGGATTATTAACTAGGAGATTGAAGTGGTGACGGAGTAGACGTAGCTTGGCCTTATAAATCACAAACTCTCCTGGGACCAACATGCTGATGCTATTTTTAAGAAGGGGCAAATTTGCTTCCTTAGAAAACTGAACTTTTTTTAACAATGATGACAAAATTTTCACAATTCTTTTAATAAGGGTATCCTGTGATATTGTATGCTAAAATCATGGGGGAAAAGCAGGTTGACCTGTCCACCTGTACCTGACCAGGCTAACTGAGAAAGAAGATACACCCCATCCACTTTCAGTGGAGTTCCAGCCACTCCCTGCCGGTCGGAGGTAGAGATACCCCAGGATTAGAACCAACCGGGCAAAAACACGTTTAATTGAGTTAATGCCTTGGGTATAAATAATATACGGAAGCCATGGAGAGCCATGTGAAATACATGGAGACAGAGGGGATGTGCAGGATACTCACTTTATTTTTTATAACAATTGTTCGAATACAGTTATTGACATTTTAAATGCCTGCCTGGACTATGACAACATATTTATCATGACTGCTACAGATAATTTCATTGCTTTTGTTTATCTGATCAGATTTATCTGCATCATATCAATTCTATACACATTGGATTTACTGTTTATGCACCAGTCAAAGGTCTCCATCACCGTAAAGCTACCCTATTTTTTTGTGTTATCTTCAAAATGCTGCTTTGAAATGGTCTGATCCAACACTTTTAAAGTTTAAAAAGTTCTTTAAGAAAAATGTGCTGAAAAACCCTTAACATTTGTCCTCTATGGTTATTTCCTTTTAGCGAAGACAACGTTCCTGACCCAACCGTTGTGCAGAACCAGTTTGGCGGTAGCCTGATAGCAGCTCTGCAGGTCTACGGCCCAGAGTTCCTCGCTTACTTTGGTTCCTTCGCCACAGTAGGCCTTCTTTGGTTTGTGCACCACTCGCTCTTTCTCCATGTCACCAAGACAACTCGCTTTATGGGCCTCCTGAACACATTCTCACTGGCGTTTGTTGGAGGTTTGCCTTTAGCCTACCAGCTAACACACGAATTCCCACACAACTCTCGCAACGAATTGGAAGCCATTCAGATTAGCTGTGTGATCATTTTCTTTGCTGGTATATTCCAGCTCACTATTTGGGTGGTCGCTCTTTACAGTGAACAGGAAACTCTGCATCCTTATGTACGATATGGCGGGCGTGAGCATGTGTTTATGCTAGCCAAGCTAGCTCTGTACCCCTGTGTAGCTCTGGGGACATTTTTCCTAACATGTATTTTGAGTAAATTTAGCGCCCAAATTTTCCACCTGATGGAGATTACAGTGCCTTTTGCTTTTCTTGTGTTGAGGCTGTTGGTGCGTGCCGGGCTAGCTTTGCTGCGACTAATTTTCTGTCCCGATAGGCCTGACCCAGGTCTGTTGTAGAAGAGGAAGACGACGAGACAAGAGTGCCATTCAATGCCTTAGTCACCTAGCTAGCTTGAAGGGAAGTGGCAAAAAAAAAACACCTATCTGAGGAGTGAGGCATTATTGCTAAAATGCTTGGTCTCTGAAAGAGTTACAGTAAGGGTTTGAATAAGGAACAACATGGAAAAGATGACTGTTTTCAACATTTAAACTGGTTCCTGAGAAGGAATCAGTGCAAATGCGATTAGATGTGACCACGATGAAGGCGAAGTATGGAAGTGGACCAGAGCAATGAAGGATACTGACAGCCAAAGCCTATCCATTAATTTGATTTGTTAAACGACAACTTAAAATATATAATAATGCTAGTTTTGTTTAGCGAATAATCAACAAGTCATCTTCAGGCACTCAAAAGCTAGCATTTAAATGACCCACACTAAGGTTCAGTGTTGCCAACTCCAAGTTGCATTTGGCCGTCCTAAAAGTCGTTAAATGATGTCATCACCTAATTTTGTTTTTAAGGTTTCCCGCTCACAGTAGTAGCAAAAGGTCCAAAATGAGAATGGCTATAATTCATGACTGAAGTTAGTTGGTTGTACTTTTCACCCTGAAAAGGTGCAGCGGAACATTTTTATTATAACAGATCAGTTTCTATGCCAGGTACAGGTGTGATGAACAGTCCGTCCAACTGCTATTGTTTGAATTCAGCCTATTTGTTCAGTCGCATTCAGTTGCAGAAATTCATATATGAGAGCTGATGGCTTAAGTATACTTTGTGTATGACAGGGGGTTATGACAGTTTTCTCAAATTTGTCTCCTTTGGCCCAAATATAACTGTTGGAGTTGACCTGTTACCAAACAAGATGGGTGAAGTCTGTAGTTTTTGGCACTTTAAACATTGTACTGACCAGGGATAGCTATACAATTTCACATTGCACTATTTTAAAATATTTTGATTCAGAGACTTGTGTGTAATGGCCACCCGAAAGTAAGTCTTCAAACATGTCGCAATGCTGTATTATCTCTGCTATTACCTTTTAATTGGAAAATTTTCAGGTTTTCTTGAACATTCTGTTATTAGAAAGTAATGTCAACTTAATGTTATCATTTAAAATTTTGAGAGGTTTGTAAAAACAAGTGTAGTACATTTCTGCAACATAGTACTGAGATACTGAAAGGGGACCTATTATACTGCATTTCCAGACCTATATTGTAGTTCTGTGACTCCTCTATGGTACCTTTTGCACAATTCAAAGGTCATGGCGTTTACCAGGAAGATGGGGCTGCGCGCTCCTTTGTGGGTGGGGCCGGTTTTCTGTGCCTGGAGCAAATTACTATATAGGGAAAACCGGCACTGTATGACATCCTAAGGAGCCGTTAGTAGAAAATAACTGTTGAAACCAGAGCATTCAGAACAGGGGAAATCTGAGGTTTTGGCTCACAGGAGTTTCTTTTAAATACTATTGAACATTATACATATGACAGAAAAAATGGAAAAGCATAATAGGTCCCCTTGAAGCTATTTATTTCACTGTAATGATGATGTGCTTTGCTATGATGTACAGTTATGTGTTTGATACTGAGTGAAAAGGGACACAAATCTGAAAGGCACTTTAATGGAAACCTGTAAGGTGATGGGGAAGGGTTAGATATATCAATAAGAATGTGAGCATGGGGCAGCTTCTAGATCTAAGCCCGGTTTGGTTTTCTACGTATTTGTCTCCAAATTCCGTTTGACAGATTTCTGTTCTCAATTCTTGGCTGTGGTCTGTTTTGTAATTGCTATATGAGTGCAAATGTCACACTGCAAAATCCTTTTTTTTTTTTTTGTCTGTCAAGCTTTATTTTGTGAATAAATCTGAAGTTATTACCACAATGTAAAGTGAATTCTCTGTCTTGTCATTATCAAAAGGTAAATGGCGTGAAACATAATGAACAAAATGTAAGACATTTTTAAGAAAAAAAAACTTTATTCACCTTCATACAGTAAACAGCTTCACAATATCCCTAACAAGATGTATGTGTTTACCCCTATATTCAACATACTTCCTCAGTATAATTTTTAATCTTTTCCACTCCAGAAGTTATAGATTTTCATTAGAAAACATTCCTGCTCAAAGCAAATCACACAAAATGATAAATTAAAAAGACGAGCAACCAAACATCTGCAGTGCATCATTTGACATTTGGCTCAAACTACCCCTTTCCTACCTTTACGTTTGTGTACCACAAGTATTTTACCTTCATAACTTGAATAAAAAATATACATTAGTCCACACAACAGCTTAGATCTTATTTGATCTATAACTGTAAAACCGCAGAGTCTTGAGGGTGCCAATGGAATAATACACTTCTTAATCAGATGCATTCAAGTGACACTGTACATTTATTATAATGACTGATGGTGTTAATTAGGGCTTAACGATTTTGGAAAATAATGTAATTGCGTTACATTATACGTTTTTTTTTTTAACCAATATTGCGACTGCGATTAATTTTTAAGGCTCTTTACCTTCTGTATTCAAAATGGACAAGCAATAAATCAGTGTATAGTATGACCAACACAATATTAGCTAGATAGAACTACACTGTTCTTTCTTGTGGGTCAGGCCTGTGTTATGATGAATTAGGTAGAATTATTATTATGAGCAATGGTGGAGAAGATGTATCAAATTATAATAATATGAGAAAGATAATTTGAGTCAAGTCATGGCATTAAATAATATGATATAATATCATAAGGTCGGCCTACCTGGTGGTTGAACCTACAGTTCAATCTCCAATAAATGAGTCTTTATCCCAGTTCAAATCTCGTAGGAGTTCATCTTTCTATCCCAGTAAGCAAACAAAAAATACTCAGTTTGAGGTTCAGTTCAAAAGTTGTACAACGAAAATGAAACCAAGTGACGCCTCTCGTTTTTAACAGATAAGCTTAGTAATTCTCCGACAACACCGGAGTTCCCCTCCCCCGCTGCCGGTGAGCAGCGCACGGGCTGTAACCTCGGGCCTCTTTCGGACTTGTTTGAAACGCCGTTTCACAGATATTTCCTGAGCTGACTGGTGGCTGTGTGTGTGACGCAGGCGCCGATCGCCACAACACGCTTACCTTACTGTACGTGTCTTTCTGTTGTGCATTTTTCCTGTCCATCAAAGCCGCGGATGACCCGACGATTTCACCCACCACCAAGTTACCCGCGGTTGGCGGGTGTTACTTTCATTCCCAGTGTGACACTAAAGTTTGTGTAGTGTCAGCTTCTGTCAAGCTTAAGGTCAGCAAGAAGGCAAGGTACAGCGTAACGTCACTGCTTTCTTCCTGGGTGTCATGTGACCAGAGTGTAATCGCAGCCTTTGCGATTACAAAATCTCCTTTTATTACATCGCGATAATATCGCAAATGCAATTCATTGTTCAGCCCTAGAATTAAAGTTATGAAATTTACCGATTTCATAGTTTTAACTTAACTACAGCCTTAAGAATTAATTTGTTGAGACCTGAAACAATTAGTCAATTAATTGATTAGCTGATTGACAGAAACTTAATCAGCAACAATTTTAATAATTGATTGTTTTGAGTAATTTATCCATCAAAAACTTCCAGCATCTGTGTGTGAGGATTTGCAGGTTTTTTCTTTGTCTTTATCAGTGTAAATTCAATATCTTTGTCTATTCATCAGCATGGACTCTGTAAGGGGCATTGTTCAGTCACATTTTACATAGACTGACTAATTGAAATCGATTTAAATTCAAGCTAAATTTAAGCGATCATTAAATGGAAACTAAAAAAAACAACATAGGAAAAGTTACAGTCTTTTAAAATGAACTAATTTGTTTAAGACAAAAAGAAACGATGCATGATAACTGTAAAAAAGTTTTGAAAAAGAATCAAAACAAACTTTTAAATCACATATGTGACTGATTTATTTACCAAAAGTTAAATTATTCCAGTGGCACCCCCAAGACTGTATAAAACAAAAATCTAATTAATGCTGTTTGTTTAGATTTTTGGTCAGATTGCCTTCGTCTAAACAGTGCCCAGATGTCTACATGCTTTGCTTCATCTTGTTCAGTATGTAAGTTGGACAGTGAAGATTGAATACAGAAAAGCCTGTAAAGCAGTAGTGTGTTTTACCAGCGTGAAGTCATAGATTTATACAGTACAATACAGCTGGTCCCAAAAATACACCCAGCACCCCCATTTACTTCACAATGGGCAAAACATGCTAAAATACACTTCTATGAGGAAAACATAAACAGGACAAATAAATTAAACATCTTCGTCCACGAACTGAAGTAAGTGAACAGAACACAGCAAA